GCGTTTGCTCAAAAAAAAAAATACGAACAAAATCACTTGATCAATGCCGAGGTTAATAGAAAGTCGGTCGTGGCAGTTAACATTGTGATTTAGGCTGCACCCTCAGCTTAACTGGCATCGTTGCCTATTTGGGTTCCCCAGATCAATCCCGTTGACGGGTGATTGCTGATGGCAAAAGATCAATAGAACTAGCTGAGGGACGGGCAAAACGAAGGACCCGGACGGTGTGGTGGTGAAGTGCGCTACTCCCCGGTAAGGACAATAGCGTGCGTTCGTTCCCCACCACATACACCTGAGGTCCGGAGTTTTGCAAATATCCCTTCACGCATTGTTGAAAATTTCGATTTTCTCAAAAGCGTTTACGTTATTCCTTTAGCGGGTATTTTGGATCGTCTACTTAGCAGAAAAATAAAAAGAACTAACAGGCAATATCGATGTTTTTCCAAGAAGCACGGTTTTCGTCCAGCAAACTGCGAAGAAAGATACATGACCACATTAGTGTTCTTTTCCCGATCTCTTGTTAAATTCACAACACTCTGTAAGAACGGAAATGACCATTCCTTTATACCAACGAACTCAATATATCTTTAAAATCTGATACAGAAAAAATGTAACGATAGCGGTAACAACAGGATAGCAAAAACTAAAATAATGAAAGGACGGAAACAGTGAGTGAAGAAGCAAGAGCCTCCCAACGGTTTACCGCCTCATCGTGGCTGGGAGGTGTTCCTGGGTGTCGAACTGCGATGTACAGCAGGGGATTCGTCCATCCGGCAGGGTCTCCCAAGTTGAGGAGCCTGGCGTTTCCATTAGGAAGTCTAGCTAAGAGTAAACCAATACCAGGATCTAACGCCGTCTTGGTATCAAAGCCACATGTGGCAAATTTCCCTTTGATCCACAAGGGCTGCGACTACCTGTCGTGGTGACGACCTAGGGCAGACTTTGGCCCCCCCTTTGGCTGTTCTCGGGATTCCAGGGGCCCACAATGGCTTAACGAGCAAATCTCTGAAAAACGGTGATTATGCTGGGGCCCGCACAACTAGTGATGACGGGCCGTTCAAGTAACAAGTAAGAAGCGAGAGCAAAGGACGATAGAGATACTGTTTTGGAATTCCTTTGGGTCTTCGTAAATCACTTAGAGATGGTTAATAGCATCTATGCCTCAGTACTTAATGTTAACCTCTTACTTGCTGCCTACTATAATTTTTTACTTTTATTGTATTTAACAGCAGGGTATGCTGTTAAATACGACCACAACGATGCTGAGACATTCATGAAACTTCAACCCAGGGCAGATCGAACCACGATTACCCTTTCCGCGGGCTCGCATTTTACACACTGCACCCCTGAGGTCTCGCTTTGCGTTTCTCTCAGCTCTCTCGGTACTTAATTTGTTGAAGAAGTGCTCTATGCAACCATTCATGCATATCAACTTTTAAATAGATAAGTGCCTAATTCTTCATAGTCGATCCATACGGTTACGTGTCTGCTCATGTACGAATGGAAATCTCGGATAGTTCAGTTTGTAATGTAGGGCGAGCTATCTACAACGTACGTGCAAAATACATAACTTTAGAGAGCCTCATATGTCTTTTGAAGTGAAAAAAAAAGGAAAAACGACGACACGACGAGCAAACCTGCATAATGTGTTCAAGCATAGCCGGAAGTCCAAGTGCTTTGTAACGGTTGTTGTCAGCTTCATATCCACTTAATACTTCAACAATTATTTGGAGGCGCCGCCAAACCTCAAAAACGAAAAATGGACAAATCGGTGTACCGGTTTTTTACAGCATTTCTATACGACACCAGACCATAATTAATCAATACGTAACGTGGGAATTAGAAATAACGGATGATGCCCTTCTGAAGAGTTTTATCACGAAGTTACCCACCTACGCTAAGTCACACTACGTCATCAGTATTCTCACCTTTTGCACCTGTCCTTGTAATACAGACAACAACAACTTCCTTAGCCACTTATTCGAAAGCACAGAATCGAACATAGAAGCCACCTGCAATGAAACACTTGTCTATGAACTAAACAGATTATTCGACGATGTAAGTGCTTACAAGTTCCATTGACTTCGCAACACCTTCCAGGGCGTCTTTTTCCACATACAGTGGTCCAATGTGATTGTGCTCTTTCAGATATGACTACAATAGTAGTTATCACTGCATTGTAGTCAATGCAAATGGACTACTCACATCTTGATAAGCTTCTCTCCAGTTCTCTTTGTGAGCCCCAACAATTTCGGAATAATAAATCGGTTTAACATTCCTTGAATTAGCTATCCTTGGAAGCTGAATTTCAAAGCTAAGGATTCGCAAAAAGCCACGGAAGGAAACGTTAGCGAACATACGTAATCGTATATTCCTGTTGCAGCAATTCCAAAGCCAACACATGCTCGAAGTTTTTCCTCTTCTTTGGCAGCACGAACCTTTTCAATCGGCCTTTGTCCATGGGAGTGAACGGATGTCATTATGCTGTTTGTCCTGTGAGGAAACGACTTTCAACCGTACTTAATACAACGTTTAGAACACCAAGCCAGATGACACACCTTATGTTACGAATGAAAATAGATTTACTAATTCACAAAAACTCTCAAAATTCTTGTCATTAAATAGATGTAAGGCATCGAAAGTGCTGGAGTACTCCTGGGATGAAATAACAATCCCAGCTGTCCCGAACTGATATTATACTTCCAGTTAGTCCACAGAAATACATATATATATACATATATATACATACATATATATATACATGTGCACGTACATGTATATGATGTACGTGTATACACATGTGGACATGCGTTACCATACTTCTACATCAAAGATTGTTCCGACCACTTCAATTCGGCTAAAGTCATAACGACGGTGAGCATGCAGTTGGGACTTTATATTTAAGAGAGCCGAGTAAACTGTCTTTAAGTAAACCTAGCACCAATCACTGATTTCAATAGGTTCTTTTCAATGTTTGAGCGAGTATCGCTCCCGCAAAATGCAGTAAAAATCCCTCACATGTGAAATATAAAATTTTTAAATATAAATTAAATATAAAAATATAAAATAAAATCCTTGTTTTCTAAGAAAACTGAACCATACCTATACCCGTACACATGGCAGAAACCAATAAAGGTTACAATTTCCCCAGTTCGCATCACTTGGTAACCAATAGTTGATAAGCAAAAAGCAGCGTTTCAGCAATGTCTAATAGAATTTACAAATCATAAACGCGAAAAAGAAGCAGAACACACCCGTAATGGACAGGACCAAGAGTGTACTGCCCACGACGCTGAGTACACCTAACCACTTCCCTAAGGCACCGTTCCTTTTCACATTCGAAGAGTAGTGTTTGTTTATTCGCTTCATAATCCTTCATTCTCTTCTAAAAACAGTATATTGTTGTTTACTATTACATTTTATTATTATCCGAAAGAATTAAGTCACATAAGTCAACTCCTAGGAAGCTACTATGAAGAACACCCACACCCCAACCATATGAGGATTCTGAGAAAAAGTGAACAAGAACTACGATGTATAAACGAAAACCTGGAGATAAACTGCTCTCTCACGCTCCAGTTTCTCTTTCTTTTCTCGCTCTTTGCGAGTTTTGTCAGCTCGCTTTTTCGTTTGAGCTATATGCTTGACACCTTTTTCATCTTCAACGTTTTCCTAAAGCACAAACACATTCTGAACATAGACTCTATACGGGGGAAAGACAGCATTAAAACAGAGGTCACAGACCACAGTACGTGAACTAACAGGAAAAAACATTTCGCACTCTCCTCCCAAGTTTACCGCCTCGTCATGGCTGGGAGGTATTCCTGGGCATCAGACTGCGATCTACAGCGGGGGATTCATCCCCTGACAGGGTCTCCCAAGTTGAGGAGTCCAGTGCTCCCATCAGGAAGCTTAGCTAAGAGTAAACCAATACCAGGATCCACCACCGTCTTGGTATCAAAGTCGCATGGTGGCAAATCTTCCTCTGATCCGCAAGGGTTGCGAGTGCTTGTCGTGGTGACGACCTAGGGCAGACTTTGGCCAGGCTGACCTCGAGATTCCAGGGAACTACAGTGGCTTAACCAGCAAATCTCTGAAAAATGGTGATTATGCTGGGGTCTGCACAACTAGTGAAGACGGGTCGTTCAAGTATTAAGTAAGTAAGTATTTCGCACTTTAGTTACCTATTTCCTTGGGTACTTGGATAGCCTGTCTTCACTGTTTGTGCGGACCCCAGCATATTTTCTACTTCTTCGGAGTTTTGCTGGTTTAGCTAGTTTCCTAGAGGTCCGAGTTCAATCTAGTCGAAGCCTTCTTCAGGTCGTCACCAACCCAAGCAGGCGTCATCCTTGTGGGTCAGAAGGACATCTGCCACCATGCGACAAGTTTGATACAAGGACGGTGTTGGTTCCCCTTATTGGTTTGCTTTTAGCCGGGTTTCCTGACAGAAACCTCAGACTCCTCAGCTTAGAAGACCCTGCCAGAGGGATGAATCCCTCTGCTGTACATCGCAGCAGGACATCCAGGAACACCTCCCAGCCACGATGAGGAGGTAAACCATTGAGGGTTCATATACCAGTGTGATTATTTCGTAAAATCATCTGAAATGCCAGCAACGACTAGCCATTTGTGAGTCCAACACTTCTACAAAGCATTCGGCGTTTAAAGTAAAACGGATCAAGAAGACGAAATCACTAACAACTTTGTCGTTTACAGGATGATCGTCTGCCAAGCTTTTGAAACCCATAGTACGACGAAATTCTTCCACTGGTGAATTATCGGTACGCACAACACGACGAAGCTAAACAGGAATTTCAGCAGAAAAAACCTGGACTAAAAAGAGTTGTGAGCTATTACTCCAACCTTGTTCAAGTCACTTTTTGTATCCACCTCGTCCGAATTGGAAAGAACTTCCGCAGGTACCGTCATAGTGCCTTTTGTCTCACGCAATGTTCCTAGCCAATTGATAGCCTCGTCACTATCCACGCTGCTGCTAGTAGAAGATGTAGAAAAGCTCGACGAGTCTGTTAGAGAGTTTCGCCTCTGTAACAAAAAGAAATATGATTGTAGTTCTACAGGATAGAGCAGACGACATAAAACAATGAAAAAACATACTGAAAAAAAAGATTAAAGTCAGACCTTATCAGTCTTTTGAACGTTATTTTTTCCTTTTGTTTCTGGCTTTATACCTTTACTCGATTCGGGTAACATGACGGTTGAAAATCACCCAAATGTACTGGAACAGAATGCTTTTAGGAGCAGTGCAGGTACAGGAGGATGCGAAACGAAATCGAAAGACCACCAAGGAAAGAAATACTGTTGATAAAGATTTTCCATTACTCAGACTACTTATGGATTAACCACTATAAACAAAAAAAATAATAAAAAAATAATGAAGAGCAAATACACGACGTGTTCCCCTTCACTGCTAAGCCGACACGGGGTTAAAGAAAAAACGAGACGTGTAATTAGGTGTACTGGACGTGCAATTTGTTCGCATTAGCAGGCAACTGAAGGTGTTGTGTACAAGTGCGTCTATTGATACTTTGTCAAGAACTTGTTGATATAGTTTGGATTCTTGTTGAGGTAACATGGGCTTCTTATAAGTTTTAATTATGACTAACATGAGATTCTTATAGCACAGTGGTCGGAGGGGCACTGCAATGAACATGGGATCGATCCTGCGCCCCAGACTCACTAAGCTTTCCATCCCTTCGAGGTCGGCAAATTGTTATCGGATTTGTCTGGAATGATAGCAGCACCGACTCGAGACATCAGTAGACCACCGCGAGTCATTGTAAAGGCCAGATATGCATTTAATTAACTCTAAGATGCTACGAATAGAGTCAAGTGCATGGCACTTGCCTCAGGGATTGGTTAACGTCGAGAGCTTTATCCTTTTATCCTTTTATGGCTAACGTTTCGACACTTTCGCATTCATCAGAACTACGTCGATTCCATTCGAATGCCCTTCAGTTGTACCTTCTTGTGTTGTTGTTCGTCATTGCCGTCGCATCGTGACGAATCCATTAGAGTGGAGCATTGCACGAATGAAATGAAACGAATGAGTCCTCAGCGTTATCCTTTCATACAGGACTCGCGGAGTCACGTTAAAGTGACCCACAAAAATAATAAATATTTGGATCAACCACTGTAAGTTCATCAATAAACCAAAATATTGATCCTCCATACCTAGGTTTAGTGAAAGTCGGGATCGAATGCTTGCTTTGATTTTGTCGGATAATATAATCCGAGTGCCGCAGAATGGATTGTCATCAAGGAAGTAATTTTGGTCGACAGTCGCCTTAGGTTCGGTAGCCCCGTGAAGTATGGGGTGAGGTTACGTCACATCAGCTCGGCTACAATCCTGTGTAAAAGGGTAGTGCTGAGGGCGGTAATTCATTCGTGCGTTGATTCACTCTACTCGATTCGTCTCGATTCGACGGAGACGATGAGCAACAAGATAAGAAAGAACAACTCATGTGAACACTCGACTCGGATCATCATGGTTCTGAGAAGGACGAAACAGCTAAAACGCTAGCCATAACAGAGGTTAAGTAGAGGTCGGAATTGAACGCGTTATTTTATTAACTCATCTCCCACGCACCTCCCAACGGTTTATCGCCTCACTGTGGCTAGGAGGTGTTCCTGGGTGTCGGGCTGCGATTTGCAGCGGGTGATTCATTCCCCAGCAAGGTATCCCAAGCTGAGGAGGATTCCGCCGTTTCCATCAGGAAGCCCAGCTAAGAATAAACTAGTACCACAGATTCACTACCGTTCAGGTATCGAACTAGTCGCATGATGGCAAATATCCCTCTGATCTACAAGGGCGGCGACTGCCCGTGGTGGTCACGACCTGGGGCAGACCTTGGCTAAGGCTAACCTCGGGACTCCAGGAAACCAAAGTGGCTAAGCCAGCAAAACTCGGAAAAAATGGAGATTGTGCTAGCTCCCACACAACCAGTGAGGATGCGCCAACGAAGTATCCAAGTATCCAAGCAAGTACCCTTCTCTCTCGCCTATAAGACATCGGTTGTTCAGTAGACATAAGACGCAAGATATAAGACATCAGTAGAACGAGTAGACAGCGCGGTGAGTCTTGATGTGAAATTTCCGGCAGCTATTTGTTTAGGATAAAATTTAGTGTTATTATATCAAGGTGAAATATTAAGTAGCTTGTTGATAATCTGGGAAATAAGTCAGGGTTATAATTAATTGCATAACTGCATGAAAAAGTACTACAATCACTGTTAGGGTAGCGTATAGAGCAACTCAACGCTTATTTCATTAAGTATTGAACCGCTACTCTAACAAAGACAATAGGTGTTATTATTCCTTATTCACGAATAAGACATTATACTATATATATACATTATATTATACATTATGTACATTATACTATATATACTATATACTATATACTATACATTATACTTGACGTTATACTTCCATGTGATTTCTGTGCGGTTGATCTCTACTATACTATACTTAGTGGAAACCTCATAGAAAGAGGCTCTAAGGAAGGCGAAATCCGCCGAAACGTCAGCTCAATCGTGAATAAAGAATAATAACACCTCGCGTTTGCTCAACAAAAATACGAAGAATTACTTGATCAATGCCGAGGTTAATAGAAAGTCGGTCGTGGGAGTTACTGAAAGACAATAGGTTTTGTTGTCAAAAAGCCTGTACAACTTACTCTACTTAAGTAAATAACTTCTGTAGTTTGTACTAACTAGTCGTTTGAGCTCTACTCAAGTAGTGGCTATGTATTTTTGCTTATCTTATTTCCCCAAATGTATAAATTGTTTAGTCTGTCTGGGAGCAGAAATTTCAGTTTCGTACACAAAGCACCAATTTTATGTGGACATTATGTACTTGTTTTGCACCTTTTTTCTGCAGTGTAATGCTGTACTATAATAAGGTTGTTGATCTGGATATATGTGTCTGTGATAGACAGCCTATCTCCTCATGATACCGTTCATCTCCGAGCAAGGCGAATGGACACCAGCAAAACCCGATCATACCGATATGGTGAGTGAGTTGCTCAGTGTGCTCCATCTGCCCAAAAGGCACCAGGAATGTCTCACACTTTCGATATAATGCCTTTTCAAAACTATTTTTTTCGACCACCTAACCACAAGCAAGTCTTCGGGCTCTACCATGGCCTTGTTATACCTCTAGATGGGTTTACGGATGGAAACGTCAAGTTTGTTAGCTCGGGAGACTTTTCTGAGAAAAAAACCACTTTATACGTTAGTAACTGAGCACTAAGGAACACCACCGAGCCATTATGAAGCCGTACATTGTGGGCGATGTTGTTTACAATGCTCAAAATTTACGTTTCTCGCTTTATACACTAGCGCATGTATACTTGTCAACCTGGACGGTCCAGGCCATCTGTACGATTAGTGCGACCCTGAATAATATAATTTCAGTTTCACTGGTATTCTGCTGGTTTGATAGGTTATCATTCCTTTGTATCTCGAGACACTAAGAATTAAGTGGTACTATTCTCTTTTCATTTCAATCGTTTTGTCAAAAAAGCAAACACAAGTAGTCGAAACAATGGTCATAGTGGAAGGAAGCGAAATCAGCATCACCTCTCCGACAATAGACGTGGAGCTTATTTATTAGATATGAGGCTCTACCATCCTTCATTTAATTTCTAGTCGTTCAAGGTGGAATGCTGTCTTTATATGTGCAAATTAGAACCACCACAGCATGAATGAGCAAGGCTACGTCATACGGATGATGCAAGTCAATTCATAGTAGTGACATGGAGTCCATTCCCTGAATCCCATTGCGTAAAAAAAGATGTCTATATGGTCACATCATAAATATCGAGGGATGTTTATCTCCCTCAAGACATTTGCCTTTTAAACTTGGCCATGATGTAAAGGTAATGAACTTGCGCAACGAAACACCCAAAACTGCGTTAGCCATTTGCATTTATTACTAATAACCTAAAATCATTTAAATGACAGCTAGCGGAAAACTAAGAGTAACAGAGGAAAACTCGGAAATCAACTTGTTTCAGGAAATAGGAGTTGTAGAATTGACTAAAAAAGTTGAGCAGAGCAGTTTTTTTTCGATGATACTCTTAGCTTTCTCAGTAGTCGGTGACGAGGTCATCCTGAGTGTCGAACTGCGACACACAACATGATCTTCACACCCATGACCCATCCTGGGAATGATTTCGACATTTTCATTCGGAAACTTAGCTACGAGGATGCCTGTACCACAAGTTGCAATTAATTTTCAAAAAATCCTGTTAGATGGCAAACATTCCCCCGTCCAAAAGGATTATCCATTACCTGTTGATAACTGGGCTCTCTGCCACGCAAATACGTGGAAAAGAAATCTAGCTCGTCTAACATCAAACACCTCACCTTTAGTAAATTCAAGCTAATATATTCATATGGTGGCCTGAAAATTACCGCGAATAGGAAATATCGCTAATGTACAGTCCACTGTCGTCGTCAACACTGGAATATATTGTTGAGGGATAATGCTTCCCTAATTACCCATATGGTTCCTCTACAAACCCAATACGGGCCCAAGTATTTGCATAATATTTGTTTCTTTGCGCTTCAGCCAGGATCCGTAGAGGTAATCGCATCCAAGTTTGGGTTTGGTTTAGGCTTTTTCTCGAGCCTGTTTTGCTTCCTCATTAACACATGAACTATCAGTAGAAGATTGCTTCTTCTTGGAATTCTGGAACAGCTGCGCACTAGGCGTTCTCAGATCTTCACTGCGGCTAACCGTCCATTGTTATGTATGACAAAGCAGTTTTTTTGCATTGTAACTGCTACATTCTTCTAGGACAACAGCGACATCTGCAGTGGGTCAACTGTCATAGGAAAGATACTGTGATTGGTGGAATTCAACGAGGCACCATTCGAGTACGAAATTCAGGAGGAGAACGACATAACCGAACCGCTATTCTTCATCTATAAGATCCATCCGTGGGGCATCATTCTTTCGTTCTCATTTAGGTTGGACATCTCCTGTTTGATGGCTCCTTATCGTTGATGCTGCTTTCTTGATAAGCACACACGAGGTTGTTATTATGTAGTATTTATTCGTAGCAGCTAACGTTTCGTCGCTTTTGCCTCCTTCAGAGTCCGACAACAGCTGTGCTGGATGAAAGGGCACTGCCGAATGAGAATGAGCTTGCTTCATTCGTGTTGTGTTCCATTGGTTTCGACTCGATGCTATTACGAAGTCCCAAATCGGGCGAAAGAACAGCTGCGAACAATCCACTCGGATCAATCCGGCTCCGAAGAAGCCGAAATCTGTTGGAAGGTTAGCTGTTGTGGATAAATACTACATAATAACAATCTCGTGTATGTTTACCTCGAAAATAGTGGAAAAGGTACATATTGATCAGTCAGTCCGAGGTTAGAGAAAAGTCGGTTTCTGAAATATTGTTCTGCTCCGTGTCGGTTCCGTTGAGTCATCGTCATGTGCGCATCTCGCCCTGACTGTTGAACTAGTTTCCGTCCCGTCTCTGTTTTCTCGCAACTGAAATCTTCTAACGTCGTCCATGCTGCATCGTTACGAGTGTTTTTTAGCGATTCTATCTCTCCTGCCAGTAATCACTTCTAAGGTAAATTAGTCTTAGCTATCTTTTCTCCTTAGTACTTCTTGTATTCCTGGTTTCTAACCATAGACATATGTACCATCCACTTATCACAATGATTATGTCTAAAGCGAGTCTTCTTCTAAATTTAAATTTGCTCATTCTGCAGCCCAATTACTAGTAACTTGATTGGGACACTTGTATTAATGGAACTTTGATATTGAGAGTCAGTTCCGGGAGAAAAGTTCTTCAGTACCATTTGATATAGGAGGAATTCATGCCTTTTTTTCAACAACACTGGAACCATGCGAAAAGAAAAACAATCATGTTTGATGGCATGGAATGGGACTGCTCCATCCACTGGAAAAAATTAACATTCGATTAAGCCTGTTGTCTTAATTGATTTGTTCACTCATGACCTCATAGAAAAGCCTTTGACCACTGGAATTACTCGAGTGTGATAAAGTAGTATGACTTGTGTGTCGAATGTCGTAGCCTTCACTGGTTTAGGTTCTGAAGGATTGAAAAACAAGGAAAACTCCCATTCTCCATCTTGTATGCTGAACTGTTGCGAAGAGTATCGATTTCTTTCTCCTTTTTCAAAGAAGACGGGCTGGAATCTCATTCGTTAGCGTTCTAAGTACGCATCTGTGAATATGTCGCTTATAAGCGGAGAGCTATTATTTCTCTTTCGTTCAACGTTCGCTGGTTCGTGAAATCAAGGCTGTAAACTTTTGTTGATTAAGTTCTCATTCTGGGACGGTTCTAAAACGCTTCTTAAAAGCTCAGTAATTCATTTTAATCAGCAGTTTCTTTTATATGAAGCCGTGAGCTGCCAGTGGCTCACTGATTAAGAACAAAGCTAAGCGGGCTCTTTTTTAAAGAATTCGGAATCAGTCTTGTTGGAAACTCTTTTCGTTGTAGCCTTCATGCAGCAAGAGGAAACATAAAGGATAAAAAGGATAAAGCTCTCGGCGTTGATCAATCCCTGAGTGATGCGCTATCCATTCGACGTCATTAAGCACCGCTTGAAGGTGATTGAATGCATATATGGGCTTTACAATGACTCGTTGTGGCCTAACGATGTATCGAGCCAGTGCTGCTATCCTCCTAGACAAATCTGGTACCAGTTTGCTGATCCTAGAGGGATGGATGGCTTAGTGAACCACGGGGGCGAGGATCGATTCCGTGTCTGTGTTGCTGGCTGCCTGCGACCACTTCGCCACACGCGCCCCTAGGAGGAAACACGGAGCATCAAAATTGATGCATTACGAGACTGAAATTTTGACTGGCTTTGCGTCTGCCTATGTTTCGTCAGTGTCGTAATATACGTTGCAATTCTTAATGATCTCTCACTCGTCTCACGTCATGTACGTTTGATATGGGCATCATCTCCGTTCCCATTTAAGAACTACTTGATTGTTGTCTATTAAAACGAGGTTGGCAATAACTTTGGCAGACGTCTTGGCAGCAAAGTCGTTCATCGGTGGCCGCCTTGAGTCGAATTGAGGCGAGTTTTCACTACTGTGCTGAATTTTCGATGTCCAATGGTCCTCCGAGTTGTGTTGAGCAAAAATGAGTTGATTGGAGCAGTGCATATATGATAGAGAATCTCCATTCAATATTCCTTCATAAAAGGTGAATGTGATCTTATTGTTCAATTGCGGTTATCCTTCCTCTAGTTGACAATACATTCGACGGTATTCCTAATTATTAGTGGTCACACAGCAGTGCATATTCAGTGAAAATCCTTTTAATCAGTAGTTTCTCTTATTGACAATACACAGCAAGTAAGTCTAAGCCTAAGCCTGAACGAAATTTTGAACTTCACCAGTAAACAGCTAAAGATGAGTCGTGAGCATTTAAATCCGAGCTATCTTCTTGTTATCGTTGGTTTCGGCTTATTTATCGTAGCAGGCAGATAGTACGATCCGTCGTAAAGCGCTGTGAGTTACTTTGCGCACCAGTTGTTTGTCTATATTAAAGGAGGTGGTCGCATTCGTAGACTGTTATTTGTTTGGAAGTGATAGACCTATCAGAAACAGTTACGGTGAAGGGTACAGAATTCGGTCCTGTGGCTAGTTCAACAGAATGATATGGTGCTTCTTGACAGCAGTGTTCATTCTGTGTAATAAATAGTTCGTTGGTCATCAAGTGAGTCCAGAGACGTTTAGTAAAATCACCAACTGTTACGCGGCGAGTTGTAAAGTGGCTTATTTCCGTCGGTAGAATACGAACGGCAATATTCACTGCCTGCCGGTTCTATATAAAGTGTGACCGTGGCCTGGTAATGTCATTGCTCAATATCCAATTGTATACGGGAGTTGTTCTTCAGTTGCCCTCGCACTGCATAACGTAACATTCAGTAGAACTTCAACATTACAATGCCATTTGACGATGCCTGCTTTCAGCTAGCACTCCGAATGTTTGTTCATCTACTTTAGGTCCTTAAATACAAGCAACGTTCAATCGATGAAATGATGAACATTTCTGAAATGTTTTTAAAAGGATAGGATTGTAAATCTGAAGAAGTGACCACTGGACTGGGTATTTTAACTTCTTAATTATGATACATGTTAGAATAACCTTGGTGATGCTGCTTACTAAAAGTGCTGATGTTCCAAATAACTCGATGACAGACTCCAATTTTAACCGGGTAGTTATTTTTCCTGAACTATAGATCCTGCTAGTGTTCAACTTCGACGTAATATTTTCTGGTCTTCAATGATGTAGTAGCTAGTAACAGTAAATTATATGAAACAAACGAACCATAGATTCATTCATATACCCCGAGGCGGTTTACGGTCGCCTAGAAAAACCTCTTCTGTTCTCTGAGTTGTCTTGATAGGCTGTTCATAATCATAACCATTCCTTATGATAAAACACGGCAAGCCATAAATCGGTGCCTTGTTACCAGAAAGAGTAATGGTAAGGTATTTCCTGTGAAATGGCTCTTTTAGTGTTCATGAAACATGTGGAACCAAAGGCATTCCATGGAGAGAACACTAGGGGTGAATGACCATTGTATAGATGCTTGCTCAAATTACCCTATAATTAGGAGGATCCAGGTGATATACGTGGCATAACAGAAATACGGTTCTAATCAGCAACTTTTATCAGCATACCATAAGCTGGATCATTCACTGCTGCTCGACTCAGATTGTAGGAACTTTCCCAGAAAAGTCTGATAGCAATTTTCAAATGCTTTGTGAACACTGAGCGGTATCGAACCTGAATCGTGGTCGTGATAATCGGCATCACTACCACTGTCTACTCGCCCCTAAATAAGATATATTACCGTTACCACTGAATAAGACAAATTTCTCGTATGAAATGCTGAGATATTTGCAAAACTCCGGACCACAGGTGTATGCAGCGGGGNATGGTGTAGTGGTGAAGTGCGCTGCTCCCCGGTAAGGACAACAGCGCGTGTTCGTTCCCCACTGCATACACCTGTGGTCGGGAGTTTTGCAAATATCTCAGCATTTCATACGAGTTATATTTCACAACATACCCTGCCATTAAGAAGAAAAAGCCAGTAAATAAAAGAGTTAAGACAAATTTCGTTTAAATTTAGGTGACATGCCCGCCGTCATCGAAAGGCAATGTTTTGGAATGTGCCTATAAATGCTGTCCGTCATTTGAAGGAGCCGATCAGGTGACTTTTCTGTGCAAAGCTTGTTAATGTAGTAAAAATTGCAACTATTTCAAATTAACTGGTAGCGTTACTTCAGTAGATGTGCTTTTTTGAGTGTCCATTAGCAACTACGTAGGTTAGCTTCATGCATTAGGAAGAAAACCTGATGGAAAGCTAAATTACCATCATTTGGAGGTCGTGGACGACGGTGAATAGTTCATTAAGGAACAAAGAAAAACACTTCACTGGAAGTTTTGCATATGCACCAAACTACTGCACTGTTCACCTTAGGTGATTGCGATTGCTACGTGACTGGTTTGTATATACATAGGAGAAGTGATTGGTGTGAATGTTGATGAATGATTTCATTCTGAATGAATATATGTGTTTGGTAATCAACCAGTCTTCTCAGGGTTACTATTGCTGTGGTCCTGAAGACCAATCTATATTTGATAATGACAGGTACAATCGGGCAGAACGGTTCGTTGCATACGGTACCACGTTTCAGTAAGTATTTTGAAATCTTGTCGGTTTTCTGTATTAAGTCTACTTAACTCTGTACACTTCAACTTATTTGTGACTATTCCAATACAATATCGATTGCTAAATAATTCAACCTGGTGCCAGTTGGCTCTCTATTGGTTGATGCTACGTGCAGGTGTAGTTCAACGAGTTCTGCTCATTCGAAGGAGGGAGAGGCAACACTCGTTTTTCGACACCTTTGTGTATACGGTTGTATTCTTGGCCTTCACTTGATTAAGAACTTTTGACTCCCAAGTTCACTAAACGGGCTCCACTCAGTATAAGCTCTACATAGCGCTTGCGGCGATGCCTACCTCCTATTATATTATCTAGTTCTGTGAGGCGGGAGAATATTTAAAACTGATAGGACCATGGATTCACAGAGATGCTATAAAATTTTATGTTCTTTGTTTTATTTACTTATTCCTGATGCTGTCGTAGCTTCCCGAACGTGTTCGATTTTCGCCACACTTCTCCGTAGCTAAGTGATTCGTAAACTGGACTTCTCGAATCCAGGCAATATAAATGAAAATCTATGAATCTAATCTAAATCATCTATAACTTAAAAATATATATATGGCTGTAGTATTCGAATATATTCGTTTGGTTGTGCTTTAATGAAGCACCAAGAACACCTCCATTTCTCATCAAACGCCGTCTTCCTTAGACCAAGGACTGATGTTGACAATCGTTCTCTCAGGAAGAATAAAAATAAAGAATGCAATACGAAAACCTTGTTTTTCATTGTCCCTCAAAGTATCGGACCCTACTGAGCAGCTGTGCAGCACCTAAGGGGACGGAGTCTTTATCGATACCCACCGAAGTCACTCATTGAATAAAGGGACTACAAATGTTTTCTTTAATTTCAAAGCATTTTAAGTATTTTCTGAGCACTTTATATTATTTCAGGATTGATTACACTCTTCTGATAATCGGATTGATTGCGTCAGTTGTATTGTCTGTTCTCCTGTCTTTCATTTGTTGTCTTCTGTGTAACGGTTGTTGGCTACATCGTAGACGTAATCCGCAGTTGTATGAGAGTGTCCATGAGAGCGGCTGGTATCCATTATGTTGTGAGTGTTTCATAAATTTAAATACTTCACTTTTTATTTCATTGTGATGTGTTCTTATCATGTGCACCTTGCCTTCCATCGAATTCTCCCTAAGTCTACTTAACCCTGTACACTACAGCTTATTTGTAACTATTCCAATACAATAGCAACTGCTAAGTAATTCGAGTTGGCGCCAGTTGAGTCTCCATTCGTTGATGCCACGTGCAAGTACCCATAGCACCTCATTTCTTAGTAAGTTGGTCCTTGGGGGTTGCAATACGATGAGCAGCTGCTGGAACATGCTCTCTTATATTAGACAAACTATGTTTAGAAGAAGTCCGATATTTTCAATCGCACGCCAAGCTGAAATAAATTAAAGCCAAAGATCACTACTGTGCTACTAGCAACCTATTTGCAAAGCGCCAGATTTCCATTCGTTCCACAAAAGCCGCATTTTACCTCCGTTGGTAAGGTTTCAGTTAAGTACTATTTGATAGTACATGCTCAATTATCGAATAGGTTTTAAGTTCCTTATGTCATATTACTATTCTAATTACTGTAGTAAAAGGATAAAAGATAAAGCTCTCGGCGTCGATCTATCCTTTAGGGATGCGCCATACATTCGACTGTATTTAGCATCGTTTGGAGGTGATTGAATGCATACCTGGCCTTCACAATGACTCGCAGTGGCTTACCAATCTATCGAGCATTGTCTATCCTCTCAGACAACTCTTGCACCAATTTGCCGACCCTGGAAGGATGGAACTCTTGGTGGGCCAGGGGCGCAGGAATCGATCCCATTTGTGTTGCAGGACGCCTCCAACCACTTCGCCACACACGCCTCTTTACTCTAGTACTCTACTAATTACTCCAGTAACTATTAAAATCGTATAATTGTTTCCCAAAGCTTGTCTGAAGAAGCGTTAGTGTCAAAATCTTTAACGTAATATCTTACCGCATGGAATTGTCGACCGAGTTCCATTTTTCGTTGGGTGAATGGCATTGCTTGCTGTGCTCATCTACCATAGAGAAAAACGAGAACAAACAAATTCCGTGGTTCTTGTTTACAAGTGCTCATCGCCGCCAATTAGCTAAGCCTATATCGATTGGCGCGACGATAGGATCGCGCTCAATATCACCGACACTCAGTGCTGCTCACAAAACACAGAAAATCACATGAGTTCAATGGAATATCGATTAGTCATGGTAAACGAAGTGTTCTGAAAATGTCATGTTCATCGATGACGTGGACTGATTGTTGTTGATACGTTGAGAACCGGTTAGTTAATTCTATTAACTTGGACTCTTGGAAATGATGGGAAGATGCGATTCACTAAGGTTCTCTGAAAGTTTTTCTAGCACTATCGTAGAATGTTATGAGGTTGGGGAGCAGAAAAATGTAATCCCTAACTAGAAAAAATTTCCTAGAGAGGGATAGCTCGCGTAAACTTTCCTTTGTCATGGTCTTCTTTGAATTCAGAATTCTAAGCAGTTTCTACCAACAAATGAGATATTTTCAAATTCTTTAGCTGTCGTTTGGCCCAATATCAGCATATCGTCTTGCCCTTTACACCATTTCAAAACATCGATGAGGTTTTAAGCTCATCGTTAAAAGTCAGTCCGATGAGTCCACCGCCACCACCACCACTACTACCACACCCTTCCCGAATGATGGTGGTGACCTTTGCCGCCAATGACTAGGAGATGGAATTATCGAAACGAAGGTTTTAATTCTAGTCTTCAAACAGCCACAACGTTGCTGAAATATTTGCAAAACTCTGGACCGCAGGTGTCTATGGTGGGGAACGAACGCGCTATTGTCCTTTCCGGAGAGTAGCGCGTTCACCACCACATCATGCGGGTCCTTTGTTTCGCCTGTCTCTCAGCTATTTCTATCGATCTTTGCCACAGCAATCACCCGTCAGCGGGGTTGATCTGGGGCGCCCAAATCGGCACAGAACCCAGTTAAGCTGCGGCTGTAGTTGGTGAACGTGCCACTCCCCGGAAAGGACAATAGCGCGTTCGTTCCCCACCATAGACACCTTCGGTCCAGAGTTTTGCAAATATCTCAGCAACGATGTGGTTGTATTTCGCTTGGTACCCTGCCGCGAAATTATAGTAGGCAGAAAATAAAAAGGTATAACGTCTAGTCTTCATGTTGTTTCACTACGACTTCGTTCCGACTTCTATGCCACTTTTCAATTTTTCACATGCTTTATTTTCATGTGGCCAAAAACACCAAAAAGTTCTCAATGTGTTTTATTCGTTGTCACAGAACTACAAATTGGTCACATTTTTCATTTGGAATCGTAGTAATCGATAGATGTATCTTCGTATTAGGCTTGGAACGATTCTTAGAGATATTTAAGCTGCGATAATGAGGATATACTTACTTACTATAGCTTTTGCCTTCTTTACTACGATGATTCTCGACTTAACAGTTGGTATCTGATTACCTGTTAGTGTGTGTTGGATATTCTGTAAGTACGGCCTCCACTTTGCTGCTATTTGGCTGCTTGGGCGAATTTTTTCGCGCTTGGAATTCCCAAGGAGACGTGGTAAGGCTACTCAGGTCGTCACCGTGTGCAGTCACCAGCTGTTATTAATCAAGGAGACTTTCCATACTGTGGAATAGCTTTCTTCAGAACGGTGGCAGTTTTCCAATATTGCTTAGGTCTTGGGTGAGCATCCGAATGGAAATGTCGGAGAAATCCATATCTGATTGAGCAATCTTTCTCGGAAATAAAACATTTTGTTTCACTACATCAGTGTCGGACACATTAGGCACTTCACTCAATAACAAAGCAGGAATTAGTTGAAGGGAACATTGTTTTCGGTCCATTACAATTTTTGCTTTAAGCACGACAATGTTGTTTCTTACCGAGGCGGTTGTGAATTACGTAAATGTGTAATTATAAGCAGCATTTAGCACTTTAATGCTAAATGGTGCAAATTCAACAGCTCAGCACAATTACTTATGTTTGCGGAAGAGGAAGAATACACTTTCTAATCCTTCTTCATCGTTTGAATTTTATTTCGCCATATATAATTTGATTGGGGTGCATGTAGCGTGGCGGTTAGGGGTCCCCTGCAATACAAACGTTCGTTCAATACTCCACCCAGAGCTAATCAAGCCTGCCATAATGGCTATACTGATTTCATACATCGGTGGGGTCACTTCAAGTTAGATATGGTATATAGGTTAGATATAAATTCAATAAACTCTATTAAACTTCTTGAAGTCGAATTTACAACGCAACCTTCAGGGAGTGATGTACGCTGGAAACTGTATGCTTTGTCTTTGTGGCTATCTGGTCATTTATATTTATTTATGTGATCTTATAAACTGATCTTCTTAAGCTGACGCGAGGTTGGTACAGATCTTCGTTATCGTTGTCGTTGTTTTTGATGTTATTGATCGATGGCTGACGTTTCGGCGACTTCGCCTTCCTCAGAGCCGTGATGTTACGTGCGGGACTGAAGATCTGTACCAACCTCGCGTCAGCTTAAGAAGATCAGTTTATAAGATCACATAAATAAATATATCAACTATCTATGCCGAGGTTTATAGAAAGTCGATCTTTCGAGTTATCTGGTCATTATTTTTTGTTCTTTTAGGACCACTTTGTGGTCCAGTTTTTTCAAATTGGTGATGTACTAATTGCAGGCGGATTTGGAATACCCATGGGAACGGTAGTGTTCTCTACTCATCCGCCACAATATAGAGATGACAGTGAAATGTACAACAGTTCATCCATGTCCAGCCTACCATCATCGAAACAACGGTATGTTTGTTACCGGAAAGATAGCTCTTCTTCTCGCTTTCTTAAAACCACATCGGAATATCCTTTGCAACACTGGATCAGTTCACGCAGCTGATTATATTAGCCTCTTAAACATAATGTTGACAACATTTCCGTTTTTATTTCTATCAGCTAGCGTGTAACGCAGTGGTTAGAAGCGCCCTGTAATACATTCATAGCTCAACCTCTCACTCAAGGCTAACCAAACGTTCCATCCCTGCAGAAAATTGATGCCAGAGCTATGTTGGATGAAACGCTATTAACTATTAAAAGTAACTATTAAAAAGCCATTGTATAAGCTAATTTTGTCTCTTTCATTTCTAGGAGGGCTAATAGAGTCAAGTACTAGTTCCCAGGATCGACTTTCTCTTAACCTCGGCATTGGAATATGAATGTGTCGTTTTCTTGTTCAGCAATCGCGAGGTTTTTAAACAGCATACATTTACTTCCATAAAAACACAATACAATACAACGCTAGCTGACGTTTCGGCAGTATCGCCTTCTTCAGAGCCTGGAAGGGCATGCTGATATACAATCTACTAGGCCAAACGCTTCAATAACACTTACACAAAGACGAAAGAGTCGTCAACCACATGCGACTATAATCAGCTGTTCTAAACTTCCTCATTGGAAGTCACGAAAAAGTGGTGGGTTTTTTCGAGTTGTTGATCGTGTAATTACCAAAGAGTCTTTCGTCTTTTTGTTAAGTGTTATCGAAGCGTTTGGCCTAGTAGATTGTATATCAGTATACCCTTCCAGGCCCTGAAGAAGGCGATACTGCCGAAACGTCAGCTAGCGTTGTGTTGTATTGTGTTTTTTATGGAAGTAAATGTATGCTGTTTAAAAACCTCGCGATTGCTGAACAAGAGTCAAGTACATCAATTGCCAGGAACGTCTCTAGGAACTAATTGGCATCAAAGTATTTATTTTTCTCCTTCATTGTCTCTGTCACTTTATGAGAAATGCTTCCATCAGTGCCTGGATAAAACTATCACTTTACCCATCCACTTTTTTTGCCTTTTTCGTTCGTCGAAGTAATCATGCTTGGGTAACGGCTCGCTTATGGCAAGAAAATATGTCATCCCTCTCATTCACGTGTTTAATGTTGAACGACCGAAGGAAAAGCTATTAGAACCCTTAAATGGCTAACTTCGGGTCATACCAGCTTTGTATTGCAATGAGTCACCGGCGTTCGTGGGTCGTTGCTTGTTGTTTTACCAATGGAAGGATACCACGCCAAAAGCGCTACCATATTTCCCTTAATATTTACATTCCCAAGTGAAAAACTAGTCCTTAACTGCTCTTCAGTTATTATCAGTACATGCACTGCTGAACAAAAAATTTGAAAAAATAAAGCTGTTCAAATGTGGATACCTCGACTATCTATAAGTGTGACTCTCGTTGTAATCACCCGCAATATACTTCCAGCTATATGATAAAATTGTAAGCCAACTACAATGATGCTGAGACACAACCATAACGATGATGAGATATTTGCAAAACCCCGGACCGCAGGTGTCTGCGGTGGGGAACGAACGCGCCATTGCCCTTTCTGGAGACTAACGCGTTCACCATCCCACCATGCGGGTCTTCCGTTTTGCCTGTCTCTCAGCTAGTTCTATCGATCAGGCCATCTGCAATCACCCGTCAACGGGATTGATCTGGGGAGCCCAAACCGCAAAAGAATAAAATCGAAAAATTACAATATGTAGTAAAGAAAAAGTTAACATTGTGATTTAGACTACACCCTCAGCTTAACTGGCATCGTTGCGTATTTGGGCTCCCCAGATCAATCCCGTTGAGGAATGATTGTTGATGGCAGAGATCGATAGAACTAGCTGAGAGATAGACGAAACGAAGGATCCACATGGTGTGGTGGTGAGTTACTCGCCGGAAAGTACAATAGCGCGTTCGTTCCGCACCGCAAACACCTGTGGTCAGAAGTTTCGCAAATATCTCAGCGTCATCGTGGTTGAGTCACACATAATAATCTGCCGTGAAAAATTGTAAAATGTAGTAAATAAAGAGTTAACTTTGAAAAAAACAGGATTATTATGAAACAAATCAAGAAAAATTTCGAATACCGTCTATTTAGAGTTCGCTTTAATCCCGATGGTACACCACGAGGTGTTCTGAAGAATGGAAACGAGAGCTATTGAGCACAAACACAAGACACTGCTGCAACTACGACAATTACCGAAAATGCACAGCATAAAAGAAAAGAAACAATATGTTTATGCTTAAATAAAACAGTGAATAGGTGAAAAGCTCGACAAACCTTTTCTTCTGGGAATACCACCTTGAGTAAGTTCTCCCCTTCATTTCTTGTTGTTTCCCTCCCATCGTTCCTTAATACTCTTCCCTTTGTTCTCATTTTTTCCCTCTTTTCTCTTCTTTTGCACATTTTCTTCCTTTCCTCTTGTACACGCATTTAATGGCACTGTTGTAGCGGTCTTAAATTATCGTAGTTTTCGGTCACGGTCTTCATGAAAATGTTCATTGCTCATCGATGGTCTTGATTTTATGCTCTAGTCCCTATTGAGTACGAAGGCTATGCTGCTGTCGTTGTCATTGTAACTTCCAAAGGTATCAGACTTATTCCTGAAATACTAATGTGGACGATAGTATTGTTTCAACAGACATTAAAAGAGTCCTGCTTCTGGTTGTTGGTTCTTCTGTTGTCAAAACGTCCGTAATCAATTCACATACAACACTATTTCACACCACCATCGGTAAAAAAACCTAGCGACACTTTTAGAATGAGAGATGCGAGATGTTTATTTATCAACTACTCACCATATTATTTTGAAACTGTTGACAGGAATTTAGTCATACAGTGGGTTTCTGGAAATAATAGACGAATTGAAATTAATCCGAGTATTCTACGATAATAATATCCTTGCACTCCATAATGATAATTTTCTACTTTTTAAGCGAAGGCACGAATCCTACACGGCTATATCCAATGTCGTAAATGGTACAGAACTGACGAATGAATGGATTGCCGAGAACCCAAGTTGGCCCGAAGCTGGCACTTTCGTGGGGAAAGATGTATAATAAACGCTTGTCTCCTCCTGCTTAAATTTGAAAGGAAATTTTTACCCTGAACTATAGAAACTAAGTCATGGAGTAGTTTTATAATAGTAAGAAGGGCACAACGTATCTCCAGTGGATCAGGAAACAATCGCAGTACAGTAAAACTTACGCTAACAATGTAGTTAATATATTGGATTGAATAGATGTTCCCGCCGATTTCAATGTCAACAGAGCCTGGTGTTGCATTACAAGGAATTAAGTATGACTCCTCAGCAGGACTATACTAAAAAAAATAAAACAATTCACCAGATCCTGGCATTAAACTTCAAACGAAACAGATTCAAAGATTTATACTGAAGCTCTAGCAGCTTCACCAAGGCGATCCGTAACCATTCTTGGCCCAACGATGAATGTAGTACCGGTGTCGGAAATAGCTTCGTAAACCTTTGAGTGACAGTACCCTCCCATTCCAATTCCGGAAATCTGAAATGCAAAAGTTTTTAGACAATACGACTTCTAAGATCGTGTACGTATTTAACGACAACTAATCTGGAGATGATAAAAGATGGCAGATGACAGAGGCTGGCAGGTGATCACTGGTCCACTATTCACGGTGTCAATTGCACCGTACGTGAATAAGCTTTCAGGTGTTCTCTCAGGAGTTCCTCGTTGTTCCACCCAAACAGTGAACAGTGGTTGATCGAGCAAGTTTTGGAAGATTTTGATAAGTAGTGGGATTACTTCACGTATCTAGATTTTTTATTGATCTTACTTTGGTAGATGGCATTGATGAGTGGTGGCTTGACATGACCTGCGACAATAGAAGTGAAAACCAGACCTAGGATTCCATCAGCAACGAGAAGCGTTGCCGCCGTTATCACTAGCACTCGTTGGCTTTCACCGACTTCGCTGAAATCCTCAAAGATACTTGTGGATATGCCAAAAGTGGTGTTCGGAATTGCTATTTGCTGCTCCGTACTTCCACCAAACTAAAACAACAGAATAGTTTGGAACAAGAACAAAAAAAAGCACTTTGACGAAACTACAGCGTTTCTACCAAACTTAATGGCATCACTTTCAAAAAATCCCTCGGTGGCTCCGGATCTGTAATGGATTTTCCAGCCCATTTCACTCTTGATAAAAGTACTTGATGATGATGGTGCAAACCTTCTTTTCAGATCGCATAAGGAACTAAATGCGAGCATTAATTTTCCGATTTACATTGCCTTTATAGAAACTCTCACTTCCAATGGTATGCGTAAGCAAAATTGGTATATTTAACATACTCTCAATGTCCATATGTGTCCGCTAATAACGACAGATTCACAGTTCTTCCCAGTGAGGTTCTCAGAAAAACATTCAAAACACTTCTTTACATTCAGAAAAGAATTAGTGAATTCAATACTATAGAAGATTCTGAATATAAATTTTCATCTTATTTTGGAATACTTGGAAGCGAAGAGGACCGCAAATGATCTCAATCAAAAGCCCTTTTCTTCCAGTAAACGGCACTTGGCTCAGACTACCGCTGAAGAGGTATCCGACGAATTGTAAAGATCTATACATAAAATGTCCTTCAACTTTGTACGAGGCTTATTTCATTGGTGAGTCACTCACCTGCAAGAAATTCCGGGAATCCAAAGATTGGCCGATCCCGTGTCAAGTATGACAGCGAACTCGTGATCGGGTGTGCCTATTGTGATGTTACCGACAAACTCATAGTTGCCGTATAGAAATGTCTTGAAGAAAAGTCCATTCACGTCGATGATAATGGCGAGAAATGACGGCTTATTTCAGATCCCAAGCCTAGTTGTCGGGTAAACAGGATATCTTGTATAAGAAAATTCTGATGGTCAGTGAGATGTTACCTAGTGGTTCAAGAAAAAAAGAAAGAGAGAAAGGAACAGTGGTGGAATAAACTGAAACAATCCTCAGCTGATGCAGTGGAAACGTTGGATTAAGAGTGAAGATCTTTAAAATATTTTCTTCGATTACAAAGTTATTTCCTTAGATGAATCTTTTTATTAAATTATTAAGCGAAGGTTTTCCCTACTTGCCGTGACTGCATGTTGAGCTTCGATGAACGCATGGCGTTACGACGCTCGTCGTAGGCGGCCTGCTCACCTCTTTCGATCATTGGTATCTAGAAGAAACGAAAGTATTGTAGCGGCTAACTTCCTTTCTAGAAATGAGAATTTCTTGCTTTTCTAGGCTTTCGCCACATGAGCGAATGCTGAAACACAGTTGCAGCAGCTGAACTTAGAACAGCAAGGAGAACGATAAGGTGCATCTTAAACTAAAGAGGTTTTTGTACTTGCAGTACGTTTATTAGAGTGACAACTTAAGCAAGCAGGTTTACAGTAATCGGATTACACGTAGTGTGTTTTGATGTTAACCAGAATATCGGAAGTCACTAAGCTGCTTTTAATTAAATTCTTATCGTTAGTCTCTTTTGTAGGCACTCAACTGGCATTATTCAATGGATCTGCTAGATAACATGTTTGCAACCAAAAGTACGCCCTTATCTGAATTTCATTATGCCCAATTGCAAGTGAAAACAACGTTTTAGCCGAAAACAACATTATTAACCGCTTAAAACAAGTACAATTTGTGAAGAAAAAATAGCTGAAGAACTAGTGTCATTTGTTTTACCGTCTAGCTTTAAAAAGACGTACGTGAGCTCATACTGAGCCACTTAAATACTGATCTATCCTCACACCCACTTTTCTGGCCAGCGATCTTCTATCATCTAATTCGTTTTTGCAACTATCCTCCACGAAGGTTGTCGGGTTCGGGCGTGTGATCCAATTACGTCTCAACAAAGTGGAACTTCTCATTAATATCGTTATCCCGGTTCAGCAATATTTTTCCTGGCATTCTGAAATTCTTGCACATCTTCAGGTCCTCATCACAAGCAATGGCCGATATAGAGAGTGTATTTTAAAAACCAATGGTTAGCTGGGCTCTCTGTAACCTACTCATACGTGGCTACATGAAATTGGCAGGAAAACAGTGACTTCCACTACAGTAGTATCTGTTCTCATTAGGCATCAAGAAGACGCCATTATCCACTTCTGTGCAATTTACACATCACTTGCTCGTAGTATTACTTCGGGTTCATGCAAAAGAAGATATCACTGTCCAACACGCTCAATTTAAATCTAATGTTTTGGGTTCATCTGGAAACAATAGCTTATGAATTTATTCCACCATCTTAACATTGAAACTTTTATTTCCCGGTTCTCAATTATATCTTTTCAAGTTTTAAACATTAAACCATGCTACACGACCGTGGTACTTGGTGCATCGATAGAGCAAAGAACTCAAATGGGCTTAGTAACCTTGAGTGTAACGTCGATTTGTCCACAACATTGCCTCAATTCAGTCACCATTGCAGTGACTCAATGCTGCCTATGTTGCATATTTGTTCATCTCAATCATAATTAACTCAACAAAGTCGGCTGTAAGTAGTTAACGAAAATCTGTCGATTTTGTCGTGTTTGAAGATCCAGTGGTTGTAAGACATTACGTTGCCAGATCACTCATCGGTGACTATATCATAAACACTTTCGTCCTCTTCCTCAGATTAACTTTCTTCAAGCTATATAACGGGAAGCATGAGACCATACTATTCGCCACACTTCACCTTTTTCGTAGTCACTTTCGATGAAAAATTCTTCGATGTTCGATATTCTAGCATATGTCCTCCTGAAATGATAAATAGTGTTGTCAAGTCCTAACTCCTTAAGCTTTGGAGTTGTCGAACAAGTACAGCGACTTCTAAAAACTCACCATTTGCCATTATGTGAGACACATATTAAACAGCTTTTGTGGAAGTGGGTGTTATCTTGCTTCAATATGGGCAGACCCCTAATTCTACTCACCACCCGGTTATCCAGCAAGGGAAGCATTCCTTCTGCCTCCGCGAACTGTTGGAAAGCATGTATGACAGAAGCTTCCTACGATCTATGAAGGCAAGCGGCTGCCTGTGCTCTAGGAATCGAAGAAACACTCGCAAAGATTCCAGAGAGAAACAGACCGACAGACAGCCATCAAATAGCATTGATGAGAAAGACAGCTGGCTCCCGAACCAGTACCCAAATCTGAACGTTTTTGTCGACGACTGATGCAAAGGAAGGAACAAAGTGGAAAAAATTCTGAAATCCATGTGATTTCGGTTCGTAGAAATCAGTAATAAAATTAACTGTTTTCAGGAATGGAATTAATTAGTTGATGAACTCCCAAACGGTTTACCGCCTCATCGTGGCTGAGAGGTGTTCCTAGGTGTCGGGCTGCGATGTACAGCGAGTGGAATTATCGCCCTGGCCGGGTCTCCCAAGCTGAGGACGAGTCCGGCTTTTCCATCAGGAAGCCAAGGAAGTAAAGCAATACTAGGACCCACCACCGTCTGAAAACATGCTACCCAGGGAACCACGTAGTGGTGAAGATTTGGATGCGCCTGTGTGAACTCCAAAACACCAGTGTGAATCAAGTCGCTCGGCCAGCAATAGGCCAGCATTAGTACCCTACACACTGGATGCTCCCATCTAAGACGTCATGCGGTGAGATGACCGGTGGGAGGTCACAAAATCTCAGGTTTTGCAGGGCTCCACTCTAAGCGGATTTGAATGGAGCCGAACGCACGCACGACACGCCATGGAGATTGTTTCTTCCTCTGCACGTATAACGCCAGAGCACTCCCCAGAAACATCGATTTTCACGCCGTTCTTGAAGCTGCAGATCGCCTTAAATTTCGTGTGATCGCACTACAAGAAAAAAGAATCAAGAAGGCCAACATGCGCCAACTAGACAACAAGATCCTTGCCGTCCGTCGAGAAAAGGTCCTGTCACGAAATCTCGGTGGCGTACGCTTTGTCGTCCACCCGACCATTGTCCATTGGGTCGATACGAGATCCTTTCCCCTCGCTTAGCCGCCCTCCATCTTCAACTGACGTGTCATAAGAAGATCACAATCATCAATTGCTACTCAATGACTGATGCACCCGATGAGCACGAATTAGATGCGTTCTACTATCAGATAGAGGAATTCATCCGCAGTGATTAAGCACACATAAATTTTTTTTCGGAAACTTCAACGCCGTAACAGGGAAGGCCAGCGGCAACGAATACAGGATCGGAAATTTTAGATTAGGAGAGAGAAATGGGAACTGATACCGTCTTGCAGGATTCCTGTATGAAGGACATCTCTTCCATGGAAACCCATTTTTCCAGAATAAAGAAAGCCACCACTGGAAATGGGAGTCTCCTTACGGCACCACCGGAACTCGATCACTGGTACTCCCATCATTCTGTAGTGGTTCCTATCGCCACCTTCTTCGCGCGAGGATTCGATTCAACCGTAAGCTGGAAAAGAATTTATGTCATCGACCGAGAAGGGAAAGTCAAGCTGAATATGACGAGAACACTTTGGACAAAATCCCATCCAAAGTAGGCTGCAGTCTAAAGAAGACCCAACCGAAGACTGCGAGCTGCTTGTTGAAGGACTTTGAAGTTGTCGTGAATTTGCCTTAGTTTCTCAAGCGAAAAGTTTGGATCGGATTTTTTATTAGTATTAGAGAGTATCTCGAAAAGAGAAGGAAACTGGAGCCTGATTCCACTGTAACACGTTTAAAACGATCAGCTGTAGAAGGCTTTGTAGGAAGATCTACATTGGTACGGGCAGAAGGAACTACTGAAACCAGCAGAGAAAAGAACAAGTTTGTAAAAGTGTTGCTCTGTGCGATTTCAATGTTCCATTGTTCGCTTTGATGAACGAGAACGGTATAACGAAAACATTCCGCAATGCTACGAAATTGATAAGAAAAACGTTCCACACCAACCTTTTCCGTACAGCGATCGCTTTCCCAAAGCCCAGGATCCCACCTGGAGGGCAACCACCGAGACTTCTTCCGTCGCAGGTTCGACTTGTGATAGAAACCATGAGTAAAGACGCAGCTCAAGGACCCGATGATATCACGGCCAACTTCTTAAGAGCTAGAAGCCACAATTAACATGTACTTAACCGCCATTCGAAATACTTGTTGAGCCTGCTCTACAAGGCCATCATAAAGCTTATCCTGGCGCCTATGTCAAGGAGATTTGATGAAGCGCAAACTACCGAGCAAGCAAGAATTCAACAGAGATTTTGCTGCATAGGCCAAATGGAAACGGTGTTCAGGGCCATCGAAGTTGTACGAGAGTACCACCTACCACTAGCCCCAACTTTTGCCAACTATGAATAAGCGTCCGACATTGTTGAAATGAACGCAATCCTTTCGGCGCTCGGCGACCAAGCAGTAGACCCGTCCTACATAAGAACTTTGTGAGACTGTTATCGGAAACGCATACAACAAAACGGTAGCTGATGTTTCAGCAGTATTGCCTTTTTCAGAGCCTGGAAAGGTATAGTGATATATAACAATAACACCTACAAAAAAACGAAAAACTCTAAGGCAATTACATGATCAACAGCTTCTCGAAAAATCCACCGCTTTTTTCGGGACTTCCAATGAGAAAGGTTAGAACAACTGATTATGGTGCCGAGGTTAATAGAAAGTCGGACGTGGGAGTTACTGATTATAATCGCAGATGGTTAATGACTGCACCATCCCACATCAGAAATTGATGCGAACATACGGGACCAGGTCGCGTTTGACCTCTGGGCATTCATCCAAAAAGGTTCAAGAAGTTTTCGCGCTGGTGTTTTAGTCTCCTGTGCAAGGATATTGACTTTTACTTCAAAATTGCCTCCGCTATGCTTTTGTATCCTATGCGTGCATAGTGGGGTACTTTGTCTTGCTTTTCGTTTGCCATCTAGGCGTTATTCCATACGAATACTTAAAATACCTATTTGTGCAAAAGAACAGTCAGATGGGAAACGAAAATCAAGACGAAGTACCCCACTAGGAGCGCATAGGATACCAAAACATAGCGAAGACTATTTCGATGTAAAAGTCAATGTTATCAGAACTGCCATGCGAAAATACAGCTTTTCCACCGATCTTTTACCACATCCACTGAGAAAATGGTTCAACAAGACGACATAATATGGCCAAAGCTGTTTATTCTTGCACTGTAATGGATAATGAAATCACTCTACTTGGATGAGAAAGACGTACGTATTGATAGAAAATTTCTATCAGATCCTTCGTCGACAACATTGTTATCTTCTCAAGAAGTACCAGCGAAGCAGAGATGATGATCAACGAGCTCAACGAAGCGGGTAAAAAGATGGGACTAGGTATAAATCAGATGAATACTTAGTTCATGAAACACCCTTAGTACGAAGGCGAA